TCTTTAATATTTTGCCTGAAAAATAAAATTATTTCAATATTATATTTATTAAAAGAAAACAATTTTAGTTTTGCAATAAACATCGTGTATTCATGAAATTATAATATAAAAATAATTAATGTTACCAGATAAAAAGAAAAATATTACTTCGCCACTGAAAGCCTGTGCCGCTATAATCAAACCTTCTATCAATTTAATTCTGTTCATATAACCAGTCGTAATAGAGAGATCTTCTATATACCTATAAAATTAAGCTATACATATACAAGCGAAAATCTATAATCGTCGATCAAGATATAAAAATTTACCACAATAAAAAATTACGCATGATACTATTAAGGACACCGAAAAATCCAGAAAAACACAAAAATATAACGATAGATTTTGATTTCAAAAGTGTAAACACATCCTTCAATATGGTCGTCGACTGTGATTGAAATGGCAGCTGTAATAAAAATCTATGATGAGACATGAAGACATAAGAACAAAACTGTTGATTGATTTTTTATTTTAAATACATAAATTTTAAATACATTACCTCCATTTTTATACAACAAATAAAATCGATGCAAGTAAATATGATCACAAGAAGCATTGACGGTATATAATTTTTATAGACTTTGTCGTGCGAAAAAAAGTCTATCATGTATCCAGATAAACATACAACAATACCATAACCCACTGCACCCCATAATCGCTGCTTACCATATTTCAATCGTTTATCTTGTCCTAAGGAGGCAAACATTGTTAAAAGTAGTATTAGTATAATATTATTACATGAAGAAATATTCCGAAAGTTTGATTGTATGGTTAAATTTTGAGAATTATTTTTAAAAATTAGTTCTAAAAATGTTTATAAAAGTCACGTACCTAATATGACAAAGCAAAATGCATCACTTATACTAATAAAAACATAAAAACCAATTTCGCCAATACACATTAAGACAACAAAACTCCAAAAAGTTGCAGATGTGTACAGACATTGATCATCTTTGAAATTGTCACAGATAACGTTACAATTATAATTGTTCGTTAGATTTCCTTGACACAATGATATTTTACTTATATTTAATAAGCATGTAGTATCTGGTGAAATAGTTGCTTTGTTTTGGTCTGCATGAAAAGACAATTGCGTGGAAAAATTCGTATTCTCACATATCCAATGGCACATAGTGTCTTTTGTACCATTACACGATGCAATTGCTGATGCATGCTTTAATAAAGAACAAATTATGAACAAATGCATATTTTTATAAAACACTAATAATTATAAAGATGTAATTGATTTCGTATTTTAGAACCTTTAAACAAATTTTAAAGTTACACATATTTACAATATATTTTAAATTTTATATATATTATGTCTTATAAACGTTAATACTTAAAAATTTTTGGATTACATAAAATAATATAAAAATGAATGCTTAAGATAAAGTTCAAATAATTCTTTATCAAATAGTGTCATAAAATTTTTATCAAAAAATTACAGAATATAGATAAAAACTTACATATTTCATATTGCAACGCGATAAAGTTTTACAGGAAACATTTTGGAAGTGATGTTCTGATAAAATTGGACCCGGCAATGGTGGTAAAAATAATATTGTAATGTAACAGATATTTCCTATGGCAAGCAATATTAGAAAGATCACTTTTCTCCAAGTTTGAAAATAATCCATGATGAAACCAAATATTGGTTTTACTATTAGAATTAATATAGGCAAAATTGCGTTGATGCTACCAATAATTAACGGTGAAATACCAAGTTGCTTTCCGAAAACTGATAGAAATGGAAAAACAGGGGCAGTACCTAAAATAAGATGAATAATAATTAAATTTATTAATTTAATAGTGTAATTTTTAACTGATGAAAATTTATTTTTAATATCTTTTATTGTAATGCGTATGTGTTTGTTAGCTGAAGTATACATTTATAGTATATTTTATATTTACATGTTTTTATATTGGACATAATATTAAATCATTTGTTTTTTAAAACAAATTAAATAGCTGTGAACTAATAAACTTAGATGTTTAAGATATTTCTCCAGCTACAATCGCATTAGAAAATTAATCGCGTGCAATATAACCTACGAATATAACCATCCGTGCGTGTTCTCTGAAGAGGGAAACTTGAGACAAATGTACACACTCATGAATAAATATCCTATCTATGTGTACACTGAAGATAGTTGAAATGTGGCAACAACATGTCTTTATATCGCTCCTCGGCGTGCGAGAAGGAGAATTCTATCAAATTACAAATTTAAGCTATTCTAATTCAGAAACGGCACCGCTAGGCAGCTCTTTTTTTAAAATAAGATTCCTATAATATTTCTACATTACATATTTATTTTTAAAAAATATGTAGAAGATTTTCGCCGCAAGGTATTAAAATGTTATTTCGGCAAGACTTGATATAGGAGTTTACGTGTTAAAAGCTGAAACTTTAAAGATAAATATCTTAATAAAATTATTTTAAACATAATATCATATTGAAATAAAATTTCAAACAAATCTGTAGAAACTCAATTTCTCGGAGAAATATCTTAATACTAAAATTAATAAACCATTAATAAAACTCATACATAATAACAAACGCCTATATCAGGTCATGGTCAATGTTAAACAAAATGATAATTATTGTAAGCTGAATATAATATAAAAGTCAAATGATAATTATAGATATTTAAACGTCAGTAAAAATGTAAATTTAAAACAATAAATACTAAAACGCTTTTACTGGCTGCATTCAAAAGGTTTGGTTGGTTTTGAGAAAGAAGATAAAATTGGCAATATTGGAAATTATCAATACTGTGTTTCGTTTCTCTCGCTAGGAGATCAAAGTAATGATCCATAAAATATAGAGGAAAGGTCCCTATTATGAGATACTGAGTTTATTTTGAGTAAATGCTAGACGGCTAGGCAGAATTTAAAAAAATAGGTTATTTTTAAGGGAATGTAATAAAGTTTAAGATAACGTTATGTAAAGTTTAATTCATTCTGTTTTTTTTTTTTTAATTAAAGAATGTAAAAAGTGAGCAAATCGCAAAAAAATCGTACTCTTAATATGAGATACCCCGAAAAATCGATTATAAAACACAAAGTACATCAGTATTGCAATTAAAACTTTATTTAATATTTCTAAAATACAAACACAGCCAGTATGCGCGAAAAATGAGCATGCAATGGATTATATCTGGAACTCGTTTCCAAATAGTTGGAACCAAGCAAATGAATATAGGTTATTTCATATTAAAAATATTCTGGATATCTTATATTATGATTCCTATTCCTTACGGTTTTACGATCACCAGATCTAATTTTTGTAATTTTTGTAATTTTTGTAATTTTTGCAATTCAACATATCCCGTATTTTTTTATTAGTGCGATCTTACTCTCTCTATTACTACATGAAGAATTTATTGCCAAATATTTACTTTTATTAAGTAATACACAAAATTTAAAGGCCTCAATGAAACTTGAAGACATCCAATTCTAAAATCTTTTTTTACAATGACTACATACATGATCTAATAATGAATTTTAATAATGAATTTTCCACTAAATAGTTTTCAATTCAAGAGCAATAAATCTATGGTGGAATCAATAGATAGCGTTTATTAGTTTAGCAAAAACGCTGCTTTTGTTTCTAATACTGCCATACTTTATTTTCCTTCGCAACATCAATAAAATATTTGCAAATTCACTAATTCATCATTATATAATTATGCTTGTATAAAAATGTTAAAACGCCGTAAACGGGTAAAATGCCTTTTGAATTCCATTTAAAATATTAATTGTAAAATATTTTTAAAAAGTGTAAATATTTTTAAAATGCAAAATGTAAAATAGGTTTTTTGAATCCATTTTAAATGTGAAATGGATAAATAGGTATTTTAAATAGTTTTTGAATGCAAAATGGTTTTTCTTGCTCTAGCGAAAAAAAATTTTTAAAAAGGTTACAAAAACCTATATAGATTGAGACAAGATCTTCGAAATTCTTAATTTTTTGTAGATATTTATAATAGGACATAGAGTGAAGTTTATTTGTCTCAGAATATAGTAGAATCTATAGTTTTTCGTAAATATTTGTAGCGAAATATAGAGTGACATTGTTTGAGGGCGAATTTCTTGATTTTTCAAATAAACAACATTACTCTACATCTCACTACGAATATCTACGAAAAATTAAAAATTTCTAAGTTTCTCTTTTTGTATCACTCTATGTAGTTTTTCATAAAAATTTTCCAGAGTAATATACAGTTTTTAATATACAGTTTTTAAGAATATTTTACGTTTGAAATCCATTTTCAACGAAATTCTAAGCCCTAACTACAATATAATTACAAAATATTATAAATAAAGTATTTCTGACAAAAATATTAAAAATGTTTTAATATTAATGATTTGGAACCGTATCATACTTGTACTGATAATGATTAAAATTTTATCAGGCTTTTTTTATAAATTAGAATACAAAATGTCACTGGCCGGAAACTTTTGCATGTCACTGTACATTTTTAGAAATCTATATAATATTTTATATAAAACTGGAACAATCATTTTTTTATTAAGATTCGATATTTATGGACTATCTAAATTAATTTTCTTTTTACAGTTTAATTTGCAGTTTGTTTGAATATTTACAATACAATCTTTGGCCAATCATGGGACTTGATTCTTCTTATACATTAATGATTCTAGGGAAAATTTGTGAAAAATCATTCGGTATTTATCTATTTTTATAAATGGTTCAATGATAGATATGATTCTATTTCAAATGTAAAATAAAAATGATATTCCAAAAACCATTAAAATGGAAAAATGCAAAATGCTATTTCCATTTTAAATACATATTTTAATACATATTTAAAATGGAACTGTTTTAAATATTACCCAGCTCTGCTGAGAACGCTAGTATAAATGATCTTCAAAAACGTAAAGACCAATTATTATACCGTAACAGTAATGTGCAGATTACAGTCATTCTGCCATTAAAAACGTAGGCAAACAAATAAACTTGTAAGTAGCATAATTGATCGGAAAACTGAATGTAATAATATAACGTGTATCAATCAAAAATAATTACAAACTATGTACATAAATTAAATAAGAACAAATTAAAAGAATTAAGAAGTTAACAATATCTCAAACAAGAGTCCACGTAATTGTTTCATTGTTGATATATAAATAGTTACGATTTACAAAAAAAATTTTTCTTCGAAAACTACTAATTAAATGTTCAAAAAATAGAAACTGATTTAATGTAACAACATAATAATATAATAGAGATCTTATCTCTATCGATCAAAGTTGGAAGTTTCGAATAATATAATATTCTAAATTCATGAATTTAATTAATCTCAAATGTGACTGCGCACCAAAACGTTCGGACATTAAGACACAATAAATCTGAGATCTAATAATCGCGAGTCGAAACATTCGGACAATTGCGAATATATATAATTCCCCTTTATTTCAAATAAGAAACTTTTATTGTGAAAAATATTACCTTAGCCAGGATTCGAACCTGAAACCTGAGGCGAGTGTCAAATTCATGAACTTAGAATATTATATTATTCGAAATTTCCAACTTTGCTTTCTATTATAAATGTTCAAAATATTTGTCGATATAAATATTTGTCATTTTGTCATTAATAATTAAATAAAATGAGCTAAAAAGACAAAACAATACAAAAGTATAGAAAAAGAAAAATAACAGTTAGTAGATGTTTAATGCTAAAATTAAACAACAATAAAAATATGGAAGGAAAAGGAAAAAGGATGTAAGAAATAAGTAATAACTATACTGAAATTTAAGTTAATAAACTACTGATAAGTTAATAACTATAGGATTGCAGGAAAGTATCAGAAAAAGATTGTCACTTTGTTTATTCAAGCTATGCTATTGTTTTTTATGTAAGTACATCGTTTCAGATATTAATCTCTTATTTAAGAAGATTCAATATCCAAAAAAGTCTTAACATCATCCCAATTAAAATTGTGATTATAAGTAATACGCGGCGATTTAAAACAATCAATGATAATCTTTTTATTTTAGATCCAAAAAATATTTAGATTGAAATTAATTTTTAATTTGATCTATCCTTTATGTCACAGTCATGACAAGATATACATTTTGTATATCACATAAAGTGACGCCATGAGATCTGAATGGTTTTTATCACGTCTGATGTATTTATTTCCCTGATAGCAATATATTAGCAATTTAGAATTGGTAACAAACTCGATCAGATATTGACTACAAAATTATAGTCATTGTGTCCACATTTGATTATGGATTTGTCAATAAATCCTGCTTGTCAGATAATACAAACTTTGTATACAATTTGTTGTCTTTCTGCAATCAAAAATTGATAGCATACTCTGCTCAAAATTTATCTCAGCAGGCTTTGTTATCAGGGTTTAAAATATTAAGAATGAAAAAAAAACTATTTTTAAATTAATTTTACATGTAATAGAAAAAAAGCAGGATTGTTGTCTGTTATTTCAAAACGTTTAAAACAGTTTTTTTACAACATATTTAAAACACTGGGCATTGTTTAAAACACTTTTGTTTTAAACAATTTTGAACTATTGTTAATTAAAACTGTTTAAAAATACTGTAATTAAAATATGATTTAGAAAAGAAATTGTAAAAGAGAAACAAAAAATAATGTATGTTGCAAAAAATTTTTTTATCTAATTATATACAGCTTTTGAATCACCATAAGACTGAGAAACAGATTAGACACAGAAAAAGTTTCATTAGTACCAATTTGGAGATACTGAACAAAAAACTAATCTAATT